ATACACTACACCGTTTTGGATATATGTACAGGGTGAGATAAAAAACAGCAACAAAGTCAAACGCCATATTTTTTTTTAATTTTATTGAATGAATGCAAAAAATGTCGGAAATAGTATCATATTTTAGAATAAGTTTAGATTTGTTCGAATTGGTCACTTTTGGCAAGAATTATGGCCTTCAAACGGTCAATGAAACCGTCGCTGCCCGAATATTGCTATGCGGTATTTTGGTCCATTCCCGGCGAAGCGCTTGCTTGAGGTGATCGACACTTTGGTATTGTTTTAACGCCAACCTTGCCAGGCACAACAGTCCAACGGATTGGTATCCGGAGATTTTGGTGACCATTGTGCCCTGGAAATAAAGGGAGCCCCCTCATTTTGTAACCAATCTTGGGTGCCGCGTGCTGAGTCCTGTTAGAATGTCCAAGGTCTGCGGCCAACGTTTTTGCGTGCCCAAGGATTTAATACACCCTCCAGAATATTTTCACGATAATATTCGGCATTTATTCTGATGCCACGGTCGATTAATACTAGCGCAGAGCGACCATTACCATGACCGGCGCTTGAGTTCTGGTGGCCAACCGAAGGTGCACATTTTCAGCTGACCTCTTTGGCAAGTAAACACGATATTTTTGTTTGTTTACAAACTGCTGGACAACGAATGTTTTCTCATCGGAGAAAACCAAATTCGGCAGTTCACCACTTTCGGCCAAGCGAAGCAACTCTTTAGCTCTTCTCAGTCTATTTTCCTTCTGTTGCGGTGTAAGTTATTGCTCCTTTTGAAATTTCAATGGATTTACTCCGAGTTCATTTTTCAATATTTAGCGAATGGAATATTGCGATATGTTCAGCTCACGAGCGATATGTTCGGCCACTGAGACGCGGGTTTTTTATACCCTACACAACTATGTTGTCAGGGTATTATAGCTTTGTGCAGCCCCAAAAGTTTGTAACGCCGCGAAATATTGGTCCTAGACCCACCTTTAAGTATACCGACCGTCATATCTCGACTAGCTGAGTCGATATAGACATGTGTGTCCGACCGTCCGGACGGTCCACAATTGTGGACCAATCTTCACGAAATGTTGCATATAGGATGGGTTCTGCTCAATGAAGACCCCTATTGTTTTTGGTAAAGATCGGTTAATATTTAGGGGATGAAATGGACCAAATACTTTATTTTTGTCCGTTTTCTGGTCGCTCCAGAGGCCCGAACATCGAAATTTTATATAGAGAAGGGGATCGGGCCAATGATAAGCATGCCTGTTTTGATAAAGATTTGTCAATATTTAGCGGGTCAAATGGACCCTGACTTTTGTGTGAGAAATGACAAAATTTGTATTATATAGCGTATACATTTACTTCTGATGGACATAGACCCGAGAAGTTGATAATATATCCAAGAGGAGAGGTTGGCCTTTAAATTGATACCAATTATATTCTCGTATGTACTAGAATGTGGGAGTTACACGTACATTTTTGCAGGTGCTTACGTTTTCGGATATTATTTAGTAAACCATTATAACACTGGAGGGCGGACATATAACCCTGATTGCCTTGATATGTTCCATGAGGGTCCAGTTATGGTCAAGGGCAACGCCTATAATTTTCGGTGATGATCACTTAATAATTTTGGGATGAAATGGACTGAAAACTTATTTTTTTGTGTTTTTTGAGTCGATCTATAGGCCACAATTATAAGCCGAACATTACAACGCAACCCACGGTGAGGGAATCTGGACAGGTGATTAGAATTACTGTACTGAATATTAGTAATATGATCTCTAGCCGGACAAGATGGTGCAAATATCGCAAAATTTTTCCCAAGCTAGAATGTAGAACCACACAAAGTTAGTTATCGTGGAAGTTGTGTAGAGTATCATATGGCCGGCCCCGTCCGACTATACTGCTCCGCTCACTGGTTATCAAGTCGCTTCTTTCTATTTCGAACCATTTCTGTTGATTTTACTGTTTTCTTCCGTCCACTTTCTTGACGTCGGGCAACGCTACCAGTATCGCGGAAACGAGCAAAGCGATGAGGCTGTAATTTGACATTGGCATCTCTAGTGAAAATTTTCGATATATGCCCATATTTTGATATAGCCTACTTATAATAAGTCCGCCCCAATTTTGGCTATTTTTCTGGTCCTAGCAAACATGTCTAATCGAAATTGCTTTAATTCTGGGTTTTAGAATATATCTTCGAAAACACTTTCAATTTGGGTCCATATTTAAAGGTGAAGGTCACAAACGATTTTCAATATAATTTTAATATATCCTCCATTAAATGGTGATGTCCCATTTTAGGTATTTTAAGATTTTTAGTGCATTTTCCAACCGAAGAGATTGTAAGTTTGCTATTCGGAATTTTTGCTGGGGAAACACATAAATGCTGACAAAGACCACACATAACGGTCCTTTCCTATTTTAGGGGTTTTTAATGGCCCTATGAAGATATTCTAATAGCGAAAAAATGTCCCATGTAGGTCCATATTTTGACGTATAGCACTAATAAAGGTACAGTCCCATTTAGATATTTAGATTGTCCTAGGAGACAAGTTACTTTAATTGCCCATTCTGACTTATTGATGGGTAGGTAGACTTATTTGAACATATCCAACAAAGGCCATAGCTTACATAGCTCCCATATAAGGGCCACTCGTGATTCAAGATACATTGTTGAGCGCATTTCCCAACCGAAGCGGCTGTAATTCGACTTCATGATGTGTAAATAACTTATAACAGACATAGCTTGCATAAAAAGGTCGAGTACCCCATGTTTCCCACCGAAGTGACTGTAAATTGTCACTCCAGGTTATTGATTGGCACGAAATATCTTCTGGGGTCATGTTTTGGCATATCATTTTATTAACATTTCGAAATATTGGTTCTAGAGCAACCTTTTAGTATACCGATCGTCACATTTTGACTAGCTAAGTCGATCTATACATGTGCGTCCGTCCATCTGTCCATTATAATTTGTTTATACGCTAGTGGCCACAGCTATGTACCAATAGTCACGAATGTAGGTTCGGTGTGACCCGGACAATCGGTCAATATTTAGAGGATTAAATAGACCCTGACTTTTGTGTAAAAATGGCAACATTTGCATTCTATGGAATATATTTACTTACTTAGGTGGCTTGTGACAGACCTTTCGTTCCATAAGCCGAGATTAAAAAAGATTTCCAGGCGCGCCGGTCTTTTGCGCAGTTTTTCCAATTGGAAAGACTATTCGTGGCCCTCCCACTCTGCGTGAACCATCAGCTGGTTCGCTTTTATATGCCTTCTGGGCTGGGGCCTAGCCAACGTAGTCGCTGCAGCTCAATACGTCTAACAATGTCAATGTCCGAGAATAGCTGGTACAACTCATAGTTCATTCGACGGCGATATTCACCGTCAACGCAGATCGGCTCAGAATTTTTCCCTCAAACAATCCAAGAGCTGCCTCATCTGCTTGCGCAATTACCCATGCTTCAGATCCATATAACAGCACGTGTAGTATCAGCGTATTGTAGAGTGTGAGTTTGGTCTGGCGGGAGGTGGCCTTGCTTTTAAGTTGTTTGCTCAGACCATAGTAGCATCTGTTGGCCATCACTATCCTTCTCCGAATTTCAAAACTGATGTCATTCGTTATGTTTATAGCGGTACCAAGGTATATAAAATCTTTGACTACCTCGAAGTTGTAGTTCTCAAGTTCCAAGTTTAAATACCTACTGTATTATTGATTGTACTCGGATGTGGGAGTTAAACGTAAATATTTACACATTACCACACTAAAAGGCGTGGGTCGCAATGTCATTTTAAATAAGGTTCCGATTATAGTCAAATACGACGCCTATAGTTGTCGGTAGTGATCTAATAATATTTAGAGGATAACCTAAAACTTTATTTTTGTTTGTTTTAATGTCGCTCTAGAGGCCAAAATTATAAACCGAATATTGCAACTTTTACACAAGGAAGGCGATCTGATCAACTAATTGAAATGACTGTTTTGATAATTGTCGGTCAGTAATTAGCAGTTCGAATGAACCAAGACTTTTATGTGAAAGTGCACACAATTAGCGTCTTATGGTCAAAATGTTGCAAATATCGTGATACATTGCCCAGGCTCGGAATATAGATCCTCAAAATGTTCGAGTTCCTTAGGGAAGAGGGAGAATTCTGATGACATCTATAGACTATCAAACAGTTAATTGTGTATAAGGTAGTATGAGCTTGTTGGTGTAATCGATTTCTACTAATACATTTAAATATTCCAAGGAGTGAAAGTAGGCAAGTACGCTGTCCTTGCATGAGGCGAGACATCAACCTCCATCCGTAAATGACTGAAAGTTGAATCAGAATATATCAAATTTGTACAATCGATGTAGGCTGAGGGCTTGTGATTGTGGTTATTGATTGTAATTACACACAATTCATTATTCGGTTTTAGATTCGCCTTTCTATATAATCGAATACATTAATTTTTGATGTAGGTCACACCACCCTATTATACGGCATTTAGGTTCAATTGCACTCTACGACATTATCTATGTTTTTTTAATGATAAGCTGATTTATTGAACTAGTTAGCTTTCTGTCAATAGATAATACAACATTAATACCAAAAATAATGATAAGGAAACACCTGCAAGGGGAAAGTATTTCTAGATATGACTGCAACTATAAAAAATAAAAACTATAAATTTGTTCCAATTCACTTAATCAGCGTTATAATTAAAATGAAATTGATTGAAGAAAAATATGCTTAAGTTTTTACTAAATTTGCTTCACTTCTTTCTATAAAATAATATTATTTTATAATAAAGCATAACTATATAGTTTTAAAAAATGTATATATTAATATTAAATACAATTCAATTTGTTATAAATTTTTTATTATTGTCTTTTCTTATAGGATAATACAAAAAGCTGACTACCATCATATAGCTCCACATAGATATCACAACAACTGTAAATCACTATTCGTCATAATCATCACAAATAAAATAATACAAAATGTGCCTTTCAACACCTACTACAACAACAACAGATACCTCTAATGGTGCAAAATGTTCGGAATCTAGTCAATGTCCAAATGCTGCAGCACAAACAACATGTAACCTTAAACCAAATACAACAACGCCCACACAATTAGATTGTAATGGTAATGAAAAATCGAATGGCAACAACAGCAACAGCAGTATTATTATTCATCGCAAGACAGCATCAGTGGCCATCACAGATAAGGACGGATCATTGGGCTACGAGGAAGAGAATGCTGTCTACAAAGAAATACAAAAAGAAACCAAAGATACCACACCAGTTGAAGAAGAATATATACCAAAGATTAGATGGCCAGATTTGGGTGCACAAGTATTTTTACACTCGTCGGCGGTATATGGCTTATATTTGTTATTCTCGGCAAAATTATATACAATTGCATGGTGTAAGTATGGATTGATTTAAAATTATGACTATTTAAGAGTTTGTGATTAATAGAGGGTCATTAAGCGGTTTGATTATTTTTTGAAATAGAACTAGTTTCTTTTAGTTCAATCGTTCATTGGTATACAACAGTTCGATACAGTCGTCCATGTTTCTTATTCTACCTTTTCGTTAAAAATATGTGTTATTTGTGAAACGAACAAGATTTAATATTTACTTTATATTAACATTCTAAGTTTATTTAAATTGATGAGCAATTGACTCCTTTCTTGAATTCACAAAAATTTTGAAAAATTAATTTTGACACTTTGGAGCCTTTCAATAAATGAAAGGGACAAATAATGTTGCATGAACCGGTAGATGATCTAGGTGTATGCGCGAAAAAATGACAGCAGGCAAGGAATGAGAGAAACTGACGTTTGAATTGAAAGGAACCAGGGAAACGAAGGAGTAGGATATAATACCGATCGCTCCTGATTCGGAATAGTTCGTTTGAAATAGTCTGCCCCGGAACGACACAGTTCTAGTAATTAGTTCTAAAAAGCCAACGGAAAAGCAGATATTTAATTAATATTACATGAACTGATGTGAATATGTAGATGTATGAGCAAAAAATGAATGACATTAGCGAAAGGAATGAGAGATATTGACGATTGGATCAAAAGGAACTAAGTGAACGAAGGAGCAGGACCTAGTACCGATCGTTTCTGATTCGGAGTAGTTCTTTCGTAATTAGTTCTACAAATCCAACGGAAAAGCAGAGATTTACAATCAAGATTTCAATCTGTGATATATATCTGAACTCATTTCTTTGTCAGCATTGAAATTGGTTCAGAACACATTGTAGTCAACAGTCTGAAATGTGCTGATGTTTTCTATCGAATTTCAGTTTGGTGTCTAAATTCAATCAAATCCGAGTTATTCATGTTGTATCGTAGTTTTAAAAAAATAAATCAAAGGGATCGAATTCAAATGAATGTTTTTTGTGGGGCTTCGCAAAAGAAAACCTATTTCAGTTCAATCTTTCATTAATATAAGTCAGTGAACGTGGTCAATGAACGGAAAAAATCTATTTTATTATTTATTTTTATATATATTCTATATATATATATATATATTCTATATATATATATATATATATATATATATATTCTATATATATATATATTCTATATATATATATATTTCAACTAGTTCGTTTCGGGACGAATATTTTGTTTTTATTTAAAATAGTCAGACATAATGTTGTTTTTATAAAACAAGGATTTATTAGTGGGGGAAATGTGTAATTTTTAACCAATGCACTATGGGCCATAGATTCCAAATTTGGGACATAATTATGAAATAAATAAATTCGACTTTCGGGGACTCTGATTACGATTCTGCAAGAAAATAGTAAAAAATTCAATAGAATGAATCGAAAATGACGGTCACAAATTTTTAGAGTTAATTAATCAGATAATTTTTAAACATGTTTAGTAGAGATCACTGATTACAAACGTGACATCGAAATTTGAAAATCCAAATAAATGAATCCAAAATGGCGTATCAGACATATGACAAAAATAAATATTAAATTTCTTAGCAGAATTTGTCATCGAAATAGCATGAAATCGATGGTTTTGGGATTATGGATATAAAACTACGGCACATCTTAATTAAATGTGAAATATAGCCGATTTGGTTGAAAAAAGTGCTCAAATCTCCAAAATACCAAATAAAGGGGTCCGTTTATATGGCGTCTACCCTGCAACATAATTCAATATAAATAGTTACAGCCAATTTGTTTCAAAAAGCGCAAAAAATCCCAAAAAAAAAGTAAGGAAAGTAGTAAAGTCGGTCAGGGCCGAATATGCTATTAAGATTATTATTGTAATAGACGTAGTAGTTTTGAGGTCGAAGGACCATGAAATAGGACGAAATTAAATATGTGATCTGTATCTATGTATATATGCAAAATATAATTTTCATCGAAGGGAGTTAGAGTCGGTTCTGTACCATTCATATGAATCGGGCAAAAATAATTGAAATCTGGACCGACATGCTGTCGCAAATGGAGAAACGTTTGGTCTTTGGTGCACCATTTATATAAAATCGGCCGAAATATGTATGGGAGCTGTATCTAAATCTGAATCTATTTCGTCTAAACTTCGCATACGTCATTTTGTACTTAATTCAGTGCGCTGAGCAAAATGTTGTCTCAATCGGACAAATCTAGGTAGTTTGGTGCACCATTTACATAATATCGGACGAAAATATATATGGGAGCTATATATAAATCTGAACCGATTTCAACCAAACTTCGCATACATCAATGTGGACCTAAATCAGCACGCTGTGCAAAATTTTGTCCTTGGGTCAAATAGTGACCTGTGCCAAATTCCATCCAATTCGGAACATAAATGCGACCTGTAATTTGCTCACAAACGAACGGGAAGAGCTACAATTCAGAAATTTGGATTGTGGGTCACTGCTAGACAATTATAAGTTTAAGACATTCGTACTTATGTATAAAAAAGTTCAAAATGGTACTAAATTTGGCAATATTTGCATTTAGTTGGGCGTATAGAAAATGCAAAAATCTTACTTATTAAATTTGGACTTACGATTACTATTTGAAAGCAGGTTAGGAATATTGAGATAGGTTTGAAATATGGGTACGAAATGTGCAGATTCGTACTAAATCTGGTACAATTTGATTTTTAGTGAACAGACAGAGCTGGAATTCTTAAATTTGGACTTAAGGTTACTATTTCAAAGCAGGATGAGGTACATTTGGAAAATCGTACTTATGAGTACTAAATTTGGTAAAACTTGGACTTTGGTAGAATTAAGATTACTGTTAGAGTGTATGATTGATGTAGTTTTAGAAATTCTTATGGTACAATTTGGATTTGGTTTAATGGATAGAGCTGGAATCCTGAGATTAGATTACTGTTTGTGTGTAGTATTGAGTTATGGAGAAAACGTTGGAAACTCGAATTTTTGTGTACGAATAGTAAATATAATAAAAAATACACTAAATTTGGATTTGGGTAATGAAGAGAGCTGGGAACCTAAATTTTGGAATGTGGGTCTCTGACGGGGAGTTAAAAAGAAGTACTAAAATTAGTGTTGGTGGTGGTATGGAAGTGGTCAGAAAATGTGTACTTATTTGTTCGTGCTGAATGGAACTAAATGTGGAACCTGTACGTAATTGCTAAAATATATAATTGCAATTCTGATATATTTTTATTCCCTTCCCGCATACATACGAAGTATCGGTATTGTAAATTTTATTTGAATAATCGATCCGATCAACATTAAAAGCGAAACGTCTTTGATAAAAAACATATAGGGGAGACTGGGGCACCTTCGGCATCGGGGCACCTTCGGCAATCGCGTTTTCAATATGAAGCTCTCACCGTACATCACTAGTTTCGATACATAGGTATCGAATATCGAAATAAATAACTGACACAAAGTTTGAAAGTTCTAGCTAATAAGCTTATTTAGATACATAGATTTTTGTATTTTTATAGATGTTTCTGTAATATTTCAATTCCATTTCGTAAGTATTTCGTGTATACATCTTTTACAAATTTTAAGACAATATTATTAAAAAGTTGTTAACTACGATGTGTATTATTATAAAAATATTTAAAAATATAATGTTTTTACAAATCTGATCGAAAAAAATGAAAAAAACTATAAAAAGTACATTCGGGGTACATTCGGCATTTTAAAGTGGGGCACATTCGGCCATATACAGATTGTGCAATAGTATTTCCTTAAAATGTTTTTGAGTTTGTCTTTAAAACTAATCCTTTAATATGGCCCGAAAATGCATATATAAGATCAAACGTGCTTGTATTGACGAAAATGCGATAGAAAACCTCTATTTCTGATGGTGTGTGCGACCTTGAGATGTAAACGTCCGCCGCTAGAAAATAAAGCCGTATAATTCAAACATTGTGTGGCGTATTAAAACCAAATAGAGCCTTTAGAGGATCAGAATTTCAACCAGACTGATAGCGATGACAATTACCCGGCTATGACTATGGTGCCGAATGTGCCCCATCAAATGCCGAAGGTACCCCGGGTTGGGGCACATTCGGCGAATTTGACTTTTTTTACAAAACTGAAAAATTTTTTAACTAATACTATTTTTATATATCTTTTTGGAACTATTTTTGATAATTAAGAGTCAGAGGACAATAATCAGCCATAAAGTTGTTATATATGTTCAATAAGTACTGAGATATAGAGCTCTAAAAAAAAAGTGCCGAAGGTGCCCCAGTCTCCCCTACCTTATGTAAAACGAATAAAAAAACATGTGTGTATAAAATTTTCGATCAAGTCGTAAATAACTGCAATTTTATTAGTTTTACTTATTATTTATTACTGCTGATTTCCAGCCATTGATTTCAAATTGTGTGGCAAATGTCAAACGTTCATGCACGCTACTAGAACAAAATATTTACAATATGCAGTCATATGTTATTGAATAAAAAGCGACTCAGTAACAACAATTGCTACTATATTATCTTAGAAAATTAATAAATCGTTTATTATTAATTTTATCTAAAATTTCTCAAAAATTAATAACTACCCATTTTTTTACTCCACCACAATAAAGCAACCATTAGTAAGCATTTTCTAAAATTATTAATAAATATTAGTTTTTATCATAAGCATGCTTCAAAAAAAAAAAAAAAAAAACAAAACAAAACTAAACTAAACAAAATAACTTTAAAAAATACAACAACAAGAAAAAATATGTTTGTCTGGCTGGCTATTCGATAAGAATAAACAAAACAAACACCAGACGATAAGTTCCAGACAGACAAGTTAAGTTTGTTGCTATTTGTGGAAGTGTTGATGACGACGACGACGCTCTCGGAAATTTTCAAAACAATCATTGGAGTATTAAAATGCCAAAGAATATTCAAAACTTGTGAATTGTTTAAATACATTGATTCAATGCAGAATGTGGGTTATGTAGTGGAATACACTGCCAAA